CCCGAACAGAGGAAAAAAACATTGATGGGTAAAAGTTTCTTTTATCGATCTGTGTGCTGAAAATACTTGAGAATATCTTTACATGTAGTTGAAGATGCTAATTTCAAATAACAGACTAAAGTGGTATTTTTTATACGATAGATGAGGAGATGAAAGTATAGAATTGATAGTTCCATATAGAGTACGGCAATGTGAAAATTGCATATAGAGAGTAGAAAGCGAGCTAGACAACTTTTAGGAAGGTACAAATCAGTTTTATCATCGCTCTTTACCAAACTCCCCTTTTGGAGAGGGATGGTGAGGGGTGCCCCTCCCCCCCCCCCGCAACTACTGGCATGGCCGTGGGGATACAAAGAAAAAGCCGACGAAGAGAAACTGGCAATGCTACTTAGGAACTAATGCAATGTTCAGAAGACCTACATTAGCAAATCCCTTCAATAGTTTTCTGGATGATATACCTTCAAAGTTTGTTGAACTAATACCATATATTCCATGCATACGTTGTGGAAATTCACTTCTGTTAATGAATCTGTTATCTACCTTTACTACCCATCACCGAAGTTCATATCTCACCGGATGCGTTGAAATTCTTTTAAGGGACCATTCATAAATTACGTAGCATATTTTTGACCAATGTTAGACCCCCCTCATCTCCTCCCTCGTAGCGTATTTTGCTATACTTTATACATCGAACGTCACAAATTTTGATGTTCCCTAACTTGCCTTACTTGTCCCAATCTGCTGAACATTGAAAAATAACGCGATTTATCGCCTTGGTTGCGTTTATAACATAAAGATACAGCACTGAATTTTGTTGAATTTTTGGGCTTCAGATGATACTTTTGCTGTGTCCTTAGGGTTGTTCATTAACTACGTAGACAGTTTTTTGGGATTCTTCTCTCCCTCCCCCTGCGTAGACAATTTTCCATACATTTTTTTTTTAATTTGTATGGTAACAATAACAATAACAGACACTGTATGTCCAGCCCGGCTATTTGATATGGCTGTCCTCACGTTGCTCCTCCCGGGCCGGTAGCGGTGATAATGCACTAGTGTAGGGGAAAATGGGGCAAGACGAGCATCGTTTCTAAACCACACTTGTTGACAATTAAATTGATAAAAACAAACTATGCCACTTCTTTAATATATTTGCTGCGTATTGTAACGAAATTGGAAAAATACTAATTTATGAAAAAAGTGCAAAAACATAACATTACTTTTTCAAAGTTTGTCTAGTTTTAGTATCGTTTGAAAAGAATAAATGTTCCAATTGAGAATAAACAATAGTTTTTTTCATTTTCGACAAAAAAAACTTGGTATATCTACAATCATACTGTTGCTGGCCTCTTGCCCCTTAAAAGTATAAATTTTTACCAAAAATTTTAATTTTATTTTATTCCGGAGTTTAACAAGTTCTTCAAGCATAAGATTGCAGGCCAAAGCTTGAAGCATTTATAAGATTACCGAACGAATTATTTTCTCGTCAAACTAGTGGAATTTTATTCTAGTTCCGTTAGGATGGCCATCTTGTCCCACTTTCTCCTACAGCTCAGTAAAGTAGGAGAGTAGGTAGCTAGCGCCATCATCCGTGTGTAACAGAAGAGGATAGAACTTTGCAAGCAATATACTTTCCTTGCTCATTGTCGACGATGTCTGTACTTATAGCTATTAGTACTACCCGAGCGGTCGTCCCCAGCTCAAATGTGTATCAGCTCTCGAAGGAGTCACACCGGAATCTCGCGTTTAGTAAACAAGGAATCGTGTTTCGAATCGGTTCGATCAACGGCTATCGGTTTCATCTGTGCTGTGATCTGTTTTCTGGAAGACTTTATTTTCTGTAATTAAGCAAAAGTGATAATAGACTCTAAGATTGGCAAAACCATCTTCAAGGAATGGGACTTCGTTTTTTGCTGCTATCGCGTTCCAACAACGGCAACGATGGGTGCCGCAAGACCAACGCAAAAAAGAAAGTAAATATCGCCTACGGATTTTGCGCTTTGACTTCGGTGATGCACAGTAGAGGATTTTGTGTGAACTTGACCTCCGGGAATAATCTGATATTCTGCGACAGCCATAAAAGTGCGATAGACGAAGCAAGTTCCTGTACGTGTCAACTTTTGTGCGATGAGACGTAAATTGGAGCCGAATTTTCACAAAACATCAATAGTGGAGTGGTTGATTTGATAAGGCGGAAGCATGTTGCGAAATGCGTTATCAGTTCAGGTTTTTTTGGTCATCTACCTTTCTCGCTCTCTTTGTGTTGTTCCCTGTGTTGTAAGTAGGGTACATAGTTGAAGTTGCTTCTGTTTAATCTTGTGGGCTTCCGTCTCTACGTGCGTCACATAACAACAGCTATAGATGCATAAATATGTGCACAGCTGAGAATAATCTCGGTGCACGCCCGCATCGCTTATGCACTTGGCAACAGCACTATCGTCGTCAGCTGATAGTTGCATTCGAAATAAGTTCGAAAGTGATAGTGCGTATGTACGTGACTTGCTTCAAGCGACCGGGACTCGACCACTTAAACGTGACTTTGTTTGTTACTAGTCCAAACAAATTCAGTGCTCAATTTGTCCTAAGCAAATGATCTCTATGATCGCCGATCGGGAAACTCTGTCAAAGGTCAATCGATCAGTTTCAGTGTAGACAAAACAGCTGTCGGAGGGCACTAGGCAGCTCTAGGAACACGAGAAATAGGCTTCAAATTTTTTCAGGACTTCCTTAAGGCTTATTCCGTACTGAATTACGGTGAGAAAGCTTCATCAAAAATTATCCGGAATTTAGCTCGGTTTAGTGATTTATTGAAAAATTGTCCGAAAACTATCGCAGTAATTTACTAAATAATCTTTCAGCAACAGTGGAATGAGATGTGTTCTGCAGGAAGTAATGTAAGGCGACGTTTCTCAATCACCCGTGTAACGCGGGCTATCCTTAGCTGGGTTGCAGGAATTCAGAAAACTTGATCACAAGTTTTGATGTTTTATTGAAGTTCATTTTGAATTTGAAGTCATGCTGGAATTATCTAAAATGGTTGTAATTTCAAATTATTAGAAGGTTGCTGAATATTCAAATGTATATTCAAACAATTTGATGGAATACATTTAAATTTTCTTATAAAGAAATCCTTTATGAATAGCTTTTGAAGTGGGATGAGTAATAACTTTTTGCTTTTTGATTCCCTTAAATGGCTTTTGAAATTGACTTTTGAAAAATTTAATAAATTAAAATCGCGTGAAAACAACAGAATTGAATGTACACAAAAAAAACACGCTGATAATTTTGAGTGGCTGAGAAGCTCTATCAAAGATCCTAAAGAGTTAAAAGTACAGCCAACCTCCCCATTTCGATATTGAAGGGACCATATCGAGATACATAATACCTAATAAATGAATCTTAACCTCAAGGGACAATCGCAATACCCAAGCAATCAACAAGTCCTCCAATTCAAGTTTAAGCAAAAAGGCGGTAATCCATAAATGTTGTTAACACTGAAAATAAGAGGCATGTGCCTCCCCGATCCTATCCTGACGCCGCCATTGCCAAGCCCCTGAACACCGGTCCGATGTTTGTCTTTTCCACCGGTGCTTATCACAATCGACGATCGCTGGCTCCAGACTAAATCATGTCTTGGAAATTTTCCGTCGTTTCACGGAGCTGCACATCTGGACGCAGTTGCCACACACCGGCCGGTTTGTTTGTTAAACAATCTGCTCCCGAGAAACGCTTGATAATAGTGCGAGACTCTTGATTTGTTTGCACTGCATGATGCGTATCGACCGGTTTGCTTTGACACGGATCATTAGTGTTGGCTTGCCTATTGACGCTATTGAGCAAGAAATGAGTTCTAATGATTGAATTAGGAGAAAGTGGAGCAAAACGGCCGCCATAACGAAACTCGAAAAACCCACTATTTTTCCCAGAAAATAATTCTTCCTATAATCTTACAGATTGGCCTATAATCCTATTCTTCAAAAACAATTAGACAAAATTGTTAAAATTCGAAGAAAGTTAAAATTTTCTGGCATTTTTTTCACTCCTATGAGGCAACAACAATTGTAGGCATAAATAATTTTTTCTATCGAAAATAAGAGAAATATTGTATAATGGTACAGTAGTTTTCAAAGTACCTCGAAATGAATCAATATTAAATTATTAAGTTTAATAAAAAGTTACGTGGAACCATATGTTTGAACTTTGACCATGAACTAGTCTTAACTTAACATCTATATTAAGTTATCATGACAAACTTGATCATTTTCATTATATTTTTGTGTGGGGAATTAATATTTAGGCACCCTTATAAATGTATGGTCGTCGTCAGATTTTCAAAACTTAACAATACATTTTTATATTAATTTTGCATGTAACATCTCAGAACAATATTAAACAAGAGTAGCATTATAGTATTGCACTAGTGTCCATTGCTCGAATAAAAAAAAAAAGTTTATTTAACTTTATTTTATTACACCAAAAAGTTATAATTGTTCAGCTCTCACTAACTATAAATTACTCACTATGAAAAATATTATGTATTGATGTTTTGCAGTACGTAGCATGCACACATACTAAAGATGAGGTTTACACACATTTTAACCAATTTAATTGTCAAAAGTGATTTAGAGACGATTTCAAAGATGATGTTCAGTGGAGGCGAACCAGCCCAAGGCTGAAAGCCTCCCTAATAAAGTTAAATAATAATAATAATGATGTTCGTCTTGCTTCATATGGCCATCTTACCCTACCTTCCCCTACAAGTACTTCTCGATAGTTCCTAACCCATACGGCTTATCAATCCAATCCCGCAGGGGTAACTCGATCGCACTTTCATTTCAATTGATTGACGTTAATGCGAGGAGGTTATCGTAGTAAATAGATTTGCACCAAGCTATACCATTCTGCGTACACACGCAAACACACACACACACACACACACACATACACCTTAAAAGGGTAACGAACTAACCATTTGTTTTCCTTTTGCTTTCTGCTATTTTCAGAACATGGAAGGCTCAGGCGATGGATCACCTCAATCATCGATGTGTATGGTGAAGGCGGCTGAGCTTTTCCCAAAACCAGTGCTCGAAAAGGAAGAGGACAAGCTCACCGTCCGCTTCAACGAATGTAAGTACTTTTACCTATATACCCTACCCCCCCAGTTTGCCATTTATATTGATCGCATATAACCGAATCAGTGCCCGGCGAGTCCGTCAAATATCTCGGTCAGACGGATGACGGTATCCTAGCGCTGTCCAACTACCGTCTGTTCTTGCTGAAGAATTCCATCGGTGCGGAAACGTCCGTACCCCTGGGCTTGATCGAGTCCACGCAAATCCGGGACCTGTTCCACCTGATCGCCAACTGCAAAGATGCTAGTACAGTAAAGTGAGTCCTACTTAAAACAAAACAATCCCCTCTCTGCCAGTATTCTAACTGCGATCCCCCTCCCCTCTAACAACGTCCACAGATGCTCATTTTCCACATCGGAACAGTGCTCAGAATGGCAACGGCGGATATCGCTGTCCATCGGTGTTCCAGAGACGCTAGAGTCACTGTTTGCCTTTCCATTCCACGCGTGGGCATCGGAACTACCGACCCTCAATCAGGATAACGAATGGTACGGTCGATTACAGCGGGTCGGTAACTACGACGACGATTTCCGGAAGGAAGTCGAACGGTTGCAGTTCGATCTACAGGGGGCCTGGCGGATAAGCCATGCCAATGCAGAATTCAAACTATGTCCTTCGTATCCGAGATTACTGCTCGTGCCAGCGTGTATATCGGACGATACTCTGCAGAATGTGGCAAGTTTTCGAAGTTCCAGACGAATTCCGGCTGTGGTCTGGAGACACGAACGTACCGGAGCGGTGATCGCTCGTTGCAGTCAACCGGAAGTCGGTTGGCTAGGCTGGAGAAACTCCAAGGATGAACAGCTCCTGAAAGCTCTCTCAGATGCGTGTGCTTTCGATCGTGGCACGCAAGACTCGAGAACTCGTCATAACTCAACAGCGTCCAGCGAGAGCAGTCCTCCCAGCCCGGAGGGAAGTCACGAGGAAGTGGAGATGGACGAACCGAAGAAAATTCTGATCGTTGACGCACGATCGTACACTTCGGCGGTCACGAATCGTGCCCGTGGCGGAGGCTGCGAATGCGCCGAGTACTATCCAAGTGCAGAGATTCAGTTTATGAGTCTCGGAAATATCCACGTCATTAGGAAAAGTTTCCACGCACTGCGTCAGCTTTGCGCGTCGCAGCCAGATATTCCAAAGTAGGTCAAACAAAACCATCTCGTTCTATAGTTTCTAACTAACAATAACATTACCATTACAGTTGGTTGAGTCTGTTGGAGCGCACTATGTGGCTACAGCACATGTCCGGACTGCTAGCGGCGTCAATGGTCGTATGTCACGCGATCGAACGAAGTGGACGTCCAGTATTGGTGCACTGCTCCGACGGATGGGATCGTACGCCGCAAATTGTAGCCACAGCTCAGCTTTGTCTCGATCCGTACTATCGCACGATCGAAGGTTTCCGGGTATTGGTCGAACGGGAATGGCTTAGTTTCGGACATAAATTTTCAGATCGCTGCGGACACGGACCCGGATCGGACGAAACGAACGAACGATGTCCAGTGTTCCTTCAGTGGCTGGACTGCGTTCAACAGATCCACCGCCAATTCCCGTGTAGTTTCGAATTCGATATGGGTTACCTGGTAGGTTACGACGCACCCTTATGGTTGTTCATAGCGTAGAAAATTGAACCGTTGCATTTATTTTTTCAGATCAAATTGGCACAACACTCACATTCATGCCTGTTCGGAACGTTCCTCTGCAATACGGTTAAGGAACGTCTGGAAAATAGCGTTCCGGATCGTACATTTTCGGTGTGGCCTTTCCTCTCGGGACCGATGTACAAGAATCACCTGTATGTGCCGAATCGGGAACGTGTTCTGTGGCCTGCACATAGTGTAAGAGATTTGAGACTATGGACTGAAGTTTACCTGGGTAGTTGGGGTGGCAACCAAGGCTCGGCAGACTATCCGGCCAACGGAGATGGAGTGGCCGGGCAAGAGCTTAACGGTTCGATGACGAAAACTCGCTCATACGGAGATTTAATGACTGGAGTTAACGCCGGTGGTTTGACCAGAAGGTCAAGCGATCCTAACATGACTGTCGATTCTAGGTAGATTAACTCCAACATTTTCCAAACCAATTATCTCTCTAACCATTCTCCTATTGCAGTATTCTCGCTGGAACTTTGAACCTCTCCCAGGAGAACTCTATCGATTCCAACATGTCGTCGGATCGGGAGGTCTCGCCCGATCTGGTCGATCACCATACCAGCTCGCTGGCCATGATTCAGCACACCACTCAAAAGCTACAAAGTCTTACTCAGGAGCTAAACCAGTCCGACGAGGAGCTGGAGAACAACATCAAAAACACAAAGCGGGGAGCGCTGACTACCGAGAACACTACTACGTCTAGTCTTTTTATTAATGGAAATAGTGATAGTTATAACTTCAAACCAATTGTTCCTGAACAGCCGACCGTGGCCGTTGCTCCTCAGTCGAGTACTCCGCCGCCATTGGTTCAGCAGAGGCATCATCTGATGGACGAGATCGACGAGAATACGTCACGAATCGTCAAGATCGAGAGCTACCTGGGGGCAGACGTGGTCGACGGTCAGCGTGGTATGCTACGGATCGCCAAGCCCATTCCTGCTATCGATCTTGCCTCGGCCGACATGATGGAGAGTGTAGACTTGAGCGGTAATTTGAACAGTGTATTCAAGTTTATCAAGCACTTTCTTAGAAGGCACATCTGAGAGTAGATAACCGTGGAACAGGTTGTCGATTTCTACTAGCTCTAGCTTCGGCACGGCACTCCCATTCGGGGTGCCGCGAAGTGTTCGGTGAACGAGCAAGATGTACTTCCTTTGATTGAGGTACAGCTTGCAACGTGAGATGACTTGTTGACCTCGCTGGAAACGCTTGATAAAGAGGCGTTCAGTTTAAATGTGGCACAAGGAGCAAATCATACTTTGGTGCAATGAGTACCACTATCGCGAGAATTAACATGTCATCTACGGGCGAATATTGTCACTACCCATGAGATTTTTAAGAACATATTTTACGGTTCCTATATTATCGGTATTTACGTAAGGTTTCTCATTAGTCGACTTGTTATTATTCATGCAATGTGAATCGCTAATGGTATCCATCCTGGTGCAATCAAATTAGCAATCGTTTCATAATGAAAACAATAAGCATAACCAATCTACGCTATAATAAAGAAAACGACGAAAATTATTATCCGTTTAGGATTCAGAGGGTCTTGACGAAGCGATTTTCGTAAGATTTATTTTACTGCAGAAATACAATACAAACTGTATAATACACAAACAACAAATTTGTCCATCAATTTCACTAACCATTTTTAATCTAATTGTGTTCTACTTTACCAATATGCGTCCATCAGAACGTTTCGTATGAATCCGAAAAGTTGCAAAAAGTTCTTCCCTCCAGCCGACAATCACTTCACAATTTGTCTTCGTTTTAATTTATTTGGTCATTCTGAATCATAGATTTCGGTTCCAGACCTACCTTAAGATTGGTTCAACCCTATTGTCATCTTTGCAAGCATCGTTGTTATTCTTAATATGTTGGTTTGGCATCCCATTGTAGTCTTTGTCCTTTCTTCTTTGTCCGGGTGATGTCTTTTGTTAGTATGGAAAATTCATGAACATCATATCTTCTTTTGAAATTCTGGAGCTATCTTGTTAAAACTTTGATGATATCCACATGCTATTGCAAATCCTCTCGTTTGACAAGATGGTTTCTGCTGTAGCTACTACTTGTAGAAATATCCTCCATAGTGTTTCACGTCCATATGGAGGGGGGCAAGTCAGTTCTCCGCGATAGGTAAGTCCAAAGTATGGCCATCCATACAACAACACTATCGTCATGTTTTTCAAGGTTTAAGGTATAAGTGAGTTGCTAGGGTGCCGGCGGGAATAAGATGACAAGTTTTACTGGATTTGCAATGAATTTGTTAACAGGGTTGCTTCCACCCATTTGTTATAAAAAATGTTCTTCAGAATCATGAAATCATTAGATTTTTTAGTATTTGTAAGGTACAAGGAGAGGTCACGCTCACGAATCATAAGAACGCTGATTGTAACACTCTGAAAGCAAAATTGACAAGTTTTATGAGTCATAAACATACCTTACATCCTCTTCTTGTTACTTACAAGTAAAACATATTATTATATCATCTAATGATTTCATAATTCCGGAAAACATTTTTTTATAGCAGTGAGTGAAAGTAGCCCTGATGTTTGTAACCAGTTTTTAAAGATTTCTTTCGAGACTTTCTCAGATTATTATCCTATTGGCTCTTGAGAAAGCACTCTCAATCGGATTTTTTTAAGAGCATTGCATTTTGATGGAAGAAAACAGCTATAATTTATACTACTATTGTATCACTTGCACTGCTAGTAATTCACTAATTCACTATTCACTTTCACTATCACTTACAAAAAACTATAACAGATACGTATTTCGTTTCACTACTTGCAAACTTCTTCAGTGTCTAGTCTGAACCATGATGGGTATATACATGGTGATACAGCTTTGTCACTATTTTGGCGAGAAGATCGTGTGGGGGGAAGGGGGGTGGGAGAAGTGCGTTTTTAGAGCAAATCTTAAACAAACTCGGTCGCTGTTCCATACATGGCTGAATCATGAATTTGACACATTAGAACACCCATATGTAGTCACCTTGGTTGGAACTATGTAGACTAGACTAGACAACACTATAAGATGTTTGCAAGTAGTAAACGAAATACGTATCTGTTATAGTTTTTTTTTAAGTCATAGTGAAGGTAAATAGTAAATTAGTGTAAATAGTGAATTAGTAAAAATGATTCAATAGTATTTAGTATAATTAAAAGAAAAACAACATAATATTGTATAAAATTATGCTGCTAAAACGCTCATCAATCAATTTGGATAATATAATATTTATTAAATTAAATTAATTTAATTTAATTAATTTAGCTAATTTAAATAAACCTAATTTAAAAAACTTAATTTAATTAATTTCGTTAAATTGATTTATTTTAAATAACCATTTCCCGCCCAGAGTGTTCTGGCGTAATCAATTTTCCAACACTGGAGCGTCTTGAGAATTGGATTCTCTTCTTAATATTTTTGCCAGTTGTGATTTCAGAAAGTTATAGCTCACAACGTCGTGCTCTAGAGCGGGAAAGAGTTAAATATTACCTAACGCAAAAAAGTGGATTTTATTAATACCTCCGCCTCCAACCCTTCGTCACGCACTTTTCCTATGGCTTGCGTTACGTAATATTTGAATAGGCCCTCACTGATCACTTAATAGCGCTTCAAGTACCATGTTCCCCAGTATTCTGGCAAACGACTACTATGCCAAACGGGAAGACCATGGCAGAGGTAATGCTCGCCACTCTGATTGATAAACAGAATAAAAAAAAAATCTAAATCTTTTTTTTTTCTAAATGTAAGAAACTTTAAAAGTCCGTGATCTTGAAGCACTTAAAAATGAGTACTCAAAACAGCTAGAAATTACATCTCGAAAATTAATTAAAATCCTGGTTCCTGGATCAATTTACACTTTGGGAGTAATTTACTCAACATTTATCTTTGTATTCTTAAAAATTCTCGTGAGAAATTGCTTCAGTTTCTCTTCACTATCTTCTTTACAATTCGCTTTGAATTCTCTAAGAAAACTCGTGGTATGCCATTTAAAATTTAGAAAAGTATTATCCCAAAATTTTCTTGGATTTCACCTCAGAACTCCATAGAAACTTTCCTCAGATCTTGAAATGCTTCTCAAAATGATGTTGAGGACGATCTCTTGGAATTCTTCATGAAACTCTTCTTAGAAATCCCTTGGAAATTTCTCCAGAATCTCCAGGAACACTTTTCAGAGTTTCTTTTTGAAATGTGCTCAATATTTCCAACCAAATCTTCCCAAATTTTTTACATTTCTTCAAAATTCTTATAAATTCTTTTAGGAATTCTCTTTAAAGTATCGTCAAACTTTCTTAATAAGTCTGCAAATATTTTGCTTTATTAATAGGTAGATTCCCTTGGAATTATTATCCATATTTCGTTGTAGTTCTATTTGATTAATCGATCGATCAACATTTAAGAAACTTTCAGTTTTAGGTGATCGTTAGGAGTAGTTTCAGGATTGTATTCATATCATTATTAAGTTTTGCCTCATGCCTCATGGTTAAAGGGGGACACCTGTTGAGATCTCTAAAAAAATTTATTATATTTTTAGAACATTAGAATAAATGCAATTACTTCGCGCAACATAGGATTTTTTTCGAAATTTGCCAAAATTACCAAAATAGCGGCATTCGAAAAAAAATAGTTCGATTTGCCGTTGAAAAAACGTAGGACCGCTAGTTAGTTCTTAACTCTTTCCGTTTTTGAATTGGTGGTCCTGAAAAGGGCGGGTTGTTTTCAAATGGTGGCCACACCAGTGCGAGTCGATGCCGACTGGATGACGGTGGTCTACATTGAGGCAAATAGGTATAAGAATTTCATAAGACTCGACTTATGAACAACATATATGAATTTCGCGTCGTGACTTATTAATGATTTTCGGGTAACATGAGGTAGCTGTAATACGTGTAACCATTTCATTTTTTCAAGCGTTGAAAGACGAGTGGTCAACACATCTAACCTCAACGTCCATTTCCAGTCTGCTCCGATTTATTATTTTTTGTCAACATTATTTTTCATAAGGCAAATCTATTAAATTCACACTCATTTCTTATGGCTAAACTTCATAAGTGTTTCTTATGGAATGTTTACGTTCTTTTGCCTGCGTGTAGTCATGCTGCCTATTGCGGGAAGCCTATTCTCCGGTCGATGTGGGGTGGGTGCTTTCATTGTCATCTTCGTATTGGTGCGATGCGTACTGTTCCACACATACGTCATGTCCGACGCTTATCCGTCCGTTGCTCGAAAGCAAATGACGAAATAAACGACTTGGCAACCGTTTTTATTGTCGCTGCTTTTCTCCTGCCTTCCTTTCATTGGTGAAATGGTGAGCAGTCAACCGAGCATTATTGAGCTCGCTCATATGAGCATGCGCAATATGTCGTGTGTTCGGTTTGCGCTCTATCGTTGCGTCCGTGTTTGGGATTTATCGTTACATGTCTGAATTTGGATTTATTTAATGTGACCCCTAGTATAGAAATTAAAGACGTAGTCCTACGTCAAAATCACTACTCAAATGCGCATAAAAAATGTAAAGCTTTGAGTATCCGTAAAAATCCTGTGTTATTTTAGATAATTCATTTTTACATCGCGGATCAGCAAAATTGATCGAATAGTCTCTGAGATCCCTATCTAGCAAGGTAAAAAAAATTATTTCGAGAAAAACGGGCTTAACGATTTGAGTTATTTAAGTGCATTACAATACAAGAGTACAAGACTAACAGCGACATTCATTCTGCATCGAATTGGCATTTTAACATAACATTTTAGAAGGTATAAGGATGCTGGAAATTCAAAGAAAAATCGTTTTTTAACCCACCAACCCTTAATTCTCTTTGAATCCACTTTCGAATTTCCTTGGAATGCTTCTTAAAATTCCTTTAGATTTGCTTTTGAGTTCCCTTCAATACTACTTATAATCCTCATAATAACACAAGGAACAATTCAAGCTGAACAGTAAGAACAGATGCTGATTATTGGTTGATTTAAGGTGTACA